CCTCTCCCACCTGGGCACCTGCTGGGCTGCCCTGGCCCCTCAGCCCTGCTTGGCAGGGCTCCACGCACTGCCAAGATGGGTGCGATGGCCCTTGGTGGGCTGCCAGCCCCTCTGTGGGATCTGTCCTCGTCTCTTCCTCTGCCCTCTCCCCCAAAGAGTCACTTCGTTGCCGCCAAGCCTGGGGAACAGGAGGCCCCGACCCCAACACTGGCCGGCAGCGCACCCAGCCCCTCCGCCCGGAGCAGGGGAGGACAGGCTCGGCCTGTGGAGGTCCCTCAAGGGTGGGAGCCAGCCCTGCTTCCCACGTGGGGACAAGAGGCAGGAGGGGGTCAGGACATCTGAGGAGGGTGGGCTCCCTCGGATCCCAGGACTGGAGCAAGCGCGGGCTGCAGGGCCTGGAGGGGAGCTGCCTTGCACAGATGTCGGGGTGGGGCCCCTGCTGGCGGGCGCTGGCAGCAGATGCCTTCAGCTGGGCTTTTTAATTAACCTTCGCTGGCGCTCCGAAGGGCCCCAATTAAGTGGAGAATGCGCTGGCGGAGTGGGGTCAAAGACAGGGGCGGTTTAATTAGAGTGCGGTGGCCTGGGCAGGAGCGCCCCCGCCCGGCAGTCTCCTCGCCAGTGCGCCCCATGCAGTCACCTGACAGGCGCTGACCGGAAGGGGCGCCTCGCCTCCGGACTGGGTGGCCCCAGGCAGGCAGCCCCCATCTGAGCCACCTTGTCCCCTCGGCCGGCCCCTGTTTGTCACCTGCCCTGGAATGACATCACCCAGCAGCTTGTTCAATATGCACCTCCCTAGCATCGATAGGGTCCCCATTTCAAGTTCACTCCAGAGCCTTAGGCAGGAGAATCACTGAAAGATCGAGGCCAGCCTAGGCTACATAGTCAGTTCAAGGCCAGCCTGAACTGTACAGCGAGATCCTGTCTCGAAAAACAAAAAAACAAAAAAAAAGCCACAAATAAACCCATCCAATGTGCAAATGTGACGACCTGAAGCACCACAGGCAGAGGTGCAGAAAGGGAAGTTCCAGCCCAGAACGGGGCAGGAGCCCACGGGAGGGAGGGCAGGAGCGCACGTGGAGAAGATGACATTGCAGAGGCCTCAGCCCCAGCAGGTAAAACTGGGCACTAAGGGCCAGTGTGGCTGAAACCAGCAAGCAACTATGTGAGGGAAGAGGGCCATTTCTCCAAAGAGGACAGGAAAACAAGCAACGAGCCAGGAAAAGACATCTAGTACAACTCACTGCCAGGGAGATGCAAATCAAGACTGCAATGCAATACAGTCACCGTCACACACACTGTGGCACGGCTGCTATCAAAACACCAAGCAAACAGAATGTGACTGGTATCAGCAAGCGCGTGCAAAATTCAGACCCCTTGTGCATTGCAAGAAGAATGCAGCAGAATGGTATGCCCCGGGGGAGAGCAGTGTGGCCATTCTTCCAGAAACTAGTATCACCATGTGATCAGGCTGTTCCACTTCAGGGTATTGCCGAAAAGAGGAGACACCCTGTGTCCATGATGAATGGATAAAGGAAATATGGTCCATTTAGACAACGGACAGTTACTCAGCCTACAAAAGGAAAGGAATTGTGACACAGGCTATACCAAAGATGAACCCCGAGGTCGCTATGCTCAGTGAAAGCCACACATGCGTGTGCACATGTATACACACACACACACACACACACACACACACACACACCCCTGGCACGAACCTGTTCATGGAAGGTCCTGACGGTCATCAAATCCCTGGAGACAAAAAGTAGAATAGGGTTACAGGCCTCGAGGAGGGGCTGGAGGGCGCCTCTTCGAGGTCAGAGCTTTTGCTTGGGAAGATGAGAAGCTCTGGAGACAGAAGGCAGTGCGGGCACCACGCACAGAGTTGAGGCTCCCTCTCTCCACAGCGACACCCCGCTGCAGGGGTCCCAAGTGAAGTCTCTCTTACTGTGCTTTTTTGGAAAATGGGTAACACGGTACATGTTGTGCTACGTTATTTTACTGGGGCAAGGGGGAGAGAAAAATGAGAGGGCAGTGGGTATAGGAAGCGTCGAGCTTCTCTCGGAGGACCGGGCCTCCTGCTCCTGACCAGGGAGCCCGACGCCCTCCCCACAGCATCCTGGGTCCCTGGGGACCGGATTTCAGGCCAGACGGCCCTGGTGCCCCGGGGGGAAGTGTTCTGAGCAGCGGGCTCCGCACAGGCACTCGTGCTTCCTCGGCAGCGCCATTCTCCGGGCAGTCTGTAATAAGTGCAGCTGCAGGGCCAACATTCTCCACGCCTGGCTTCCCCCAGACACGGGGCTTTGGGAGTGATGAGTGAGGGCAGGGGAGTGGGGATCTTTTTCAGGGCTGAGGCAGCCAGGCCCCGCCTGGCCTGGGCCTCCCCCAAACCCGAGCACCACCCTGACAGGCCCTGTGCTGGGGGCTTCCCTAGTTCTGCTGGGCTCCAGTGAGGGGTCCCAGCTTGAGGCTTTGCTCCCCAAGCCAGACCCTTGAAGGCAGAAAGCTGTTCAGAGCTGCACTCCCAGCCGACCGGCTGCCCATGCTGGCCGTGTGGGCGCACACCCAGGTGGACAGCCAGGTGGCCACCTGTGAGCACCCCAGCTGCCCTCAGCTGTGTATGCAGAGCCCAGGTGCTGAGGCCTGGACAGGGCATGCACCTCGCCCCAGTCTCTGCAAGCATGGGGACCCCATCTCTCCACCCAGCTGCAGAGAGGTGTGCTTCAACCCAGCCAGGAACGGCTGAGAACAGCACGGTGGCCTTGTCCTGGGTCTGCAGGTCAAGCGATGCAAGGGCAGGGCATCCTTCGCAGGGGCCCCAGTGGAGGCCTGCACCTGCTTCTCCCACTCCTGGGGCCACTTGCTCTGCCCTCATCTTGCCCCCGGTGGGCCTCAAATCTCCCTGTCCTTTCTCTCTCAAGGACGGGGGTTCAGGGCCCACTCACACCCAGGGTGTTCTCCTCTCAGATTATTCCCGACTGCCACCCATCAGAGCCCATTCCTAAACAAGGACCCCTCCGAGGTGCCAGGTGAACAAGGTCTTGGGGGATTGAGCAGTAAAGGAGGAGCCACCCCTTGCTTCGACTCACACAGGACCCCAGCCTGGACTAGCAGGCCAGGTACCCACCTACAAGAACCCAGTGTACCTGCAGCCACATGCAGTGAGGCCCAAGTTCTGGATGCCCAGGGCCAGGAACAATGTGCACGAGGGGTCGTTTGGACCACAGAGGTTCCCAGGAACTCCTCAGCAAGCAGTGGAGAGCAGGTTGGTTTGGAAGTGTCCCTGGAGCTCAGGGACAGGAGGTGGTTGGAGTGGGGAAGTCCTTGGACTGGACCTTGCCTGGGGTTTTTGTTTGTTTATAAACTCAGGTTTTTGTTTATAAACTCAGGGACCATTGGGCTGGGGATTTAGCTCAGTGGTTTCGCTGCCTGCTGCACAAGCACAAGGACCCGAGTTCCATCACTGGTACCAAAAATAAATAAATAAATAAACAAACAAATAAATAAATAAATAAACTCAGGGACCTGGATGCTGCCTGGAATCTGGAGGTGGGGTTTGGGGCGGGGCCAGGGTCGGGCTAGGTCGGGAGCTGTCCCTGTAGGGAATGGAAGATGGTTGTCCAGCCTTGCTATTCCTAACCTCAGCCGTGACCCTCTGGAAGCCACGTGGCTCCCCCAGGACCTGAGCAATGAAAGTCAAGGCAGGCTGGTCCCAGATCCCAGCCCAGACCCAGGCCCAGGGTGGCTGCCTAGGGTGGGTGAGCGTCGTGCAGGCCCCTCCCAGGGCCAACAGGGCCCCATCACTGCGGCAGTGCCCTCCAGGGTGCCCAGCAGGAGGGCGGCTTCTGGATGGGCCTGGACGGACCCAGACTTCGCTTCTGTTTCTCACTCAGCAACCAACACGGCAGACTTCCGTGACACCAAAAGGCGTGGGGTTTTCTCCTCACAAGCAAGCAAGCTATTCTGCAGCGGTCCCCAGCCGGGGTCCTCTACCCCGCCCAGGAGGGGACACCACCTGCCTGCAGACAGCGCCGCCCACAGCACCTCAGATGCCACCCCAAGCCCAGGCCGCCTCACCCGGGATTCTGACCCCACCCTGCTGGCTATAAAGCAGGGTCCCCACGACCCCTCCTCGGGGTGGACGGACTGCTCCTGTCACTCTCAGGGCTCGGGAGAGGCTGGCTCAGTGCCTGGTTTATCAGCAGGACGTTACCAAGGTGCAGAGGAGGAGAGCACAGGCCAGGTGCGGGGAGCCTGGGCTTCCTGTCCTCCCTGGGCCCGCCCTCCCCATGGCCAGATCCCAGGAAGCCCTCTGAGCCCTGGCCTTGGGGCTCACAGAGGATGCACTTCGTGCCAGGGCTGGGTGGGTCTGAGTTGGAGCGAGGTCCTGAACAGCCTGGTCCTGCGCCCCCTCCTGGCCAAAGCTGGTCCTACCTAGTCCTCGGAGAGCAAAAGGCGGCCCTAGGGGGCGGCGGGGGGGGGGCGGTGCCCGCCTGTCCCCACCGCCGCCGCCCCGATCTGGGGGGGGGCCGGGACTCAGTTTCCCCATGTACCTGCCTTTGGCAGGGACACACCTCCAGAAGACCCTGTCGAGGGGTTCCCTGGGCCTTTAACCTGGGATGGTAAAGGACACATACAACACGGAGCAAGGTGCAGGGCACACAGCAATCCATTTTATTACTTTATTCACACAGAAATTGTATGCAACTTTATTTTCATTGCATTGTTTCTTTATTTTGCAGTGGTGAGGATTCAACAAGGATCTGCATGCGCTAGGCAAACAGTCTACCATTGAGGCATATCCTGGCACCTGGTTTTATTATTTTTTTACAGCAAAATATTTATTGTTACATTTTAGATATACATAATGAAACTATCATGTATTTTACTTAAACTCCTTCCTGTCTCTGTATATGTTTTCATTTCACTAAACTCTTCGTGGAACTTCTTTTGTTGTTGTTGTTTGTTGTTGCTTTCCTTGCAGTTCAAAGGATTGAATCCAGGGCCTTGGTACTAAATCCCCACCCTCTTTTTTTTGGAGATGGATCTCCCTGAATTGCTCAGGCTGGCCAGAGCTGGTGATCCTCCTGCCTCAGCTTCCCAAGTAGCTGGATAGAGAGCCAAAAATGTGTACATCAGGAAAAGAAAAACTTCTATAAGTATTTTAATACTGAATTTATTGAGACATGAGATTAATATGTTACCTTCGGCCTCTACTTTTTGTTTTTGGTTTTTTTGGGACAAAGTCTTGCTATGTAGTTCAGGCTGGACTTGAACTCACCATGTAGCCCAGGCTGGGCTCCAACTCTCTGTAATCCTTCTGTCTCAGCCTCCTGAATAGGATTACAGGCATGGGTCACCACACCCAGCTGCTGGCCTCTACAATTACAAAACGTGCTCAAAGTTGGCCATTAGCTTCCAGACATTTATAAGTACGTGAACTGCTCAAGTGTGTATACATTTTTTGGCTCTCTCTCTCTCTCTCTCTCTCTGTATAATTTATTTAACATTCAAACTTCACTAAGACGCATACAATATGACATTTTACAGAGGGCTTAATCCTATCTAGAACACATCTGCTGGAACTTAGCAACAGGACCTAGTTCACACTTAGCACAATTATCAAAGATCTACAAAGGTTGCAATTGTTTATGAGTGCTGTGTGACATTTAATACATGCATACAATGTTCCACAGCAAGGCACCTGGGATACCCATCACTGCCCCTCATATTTGCTCACAATGTTTTTCATTTTCCTTGAAAGGAAGGGAACTTGTGCTCCAGTCCTGAGGAAGTCCCCACTTGGTCACCTGGGGGAGTACCTGGATGTCCCTCTCTCGTGGCTGGTACCACCAATGCGCCCTAGGGTCCCTGAAAATGTCCAGCTGTCTCAGACCTGCAGAACCAGCACTGCTGAAGGTGCCCAGGCCTCTGCAGCCCCTGGGCTTTTTGTGACTGCTTGCTGTGCACTCAGGCCAGAGATAAGGAGATCCAGCCTGGTGGAGGTGAGCCTGAGGCGGGCCCAGAGGCACAACCCCCAGAGCCCAGTGAGAGAGCCCTGCCAGCGGGACAAGTTGTGGAGGGGTGTGGGCCGGGCCCTGGGCCTGGCCGGGGCTCCATGGAGGCAGCCCTGCTTCGGCCTCATAACACACAGGGCCCAGGACTGGAAAGGGCACATCAAGGCACTTGGTTGAGGCTCCTCACAGCAGGAAGGGCTGGGTGAGGAGGCCAGGGGTGCTGCCAGCCAGCCTCCCTCTGGGGAATTCGGAAGACCAAGCCTTTGCACCCTCTACTTGGGCTGGGAGGGTTGCACGGTTCAGATCCAGGGCTGGGTCTCCTCTCCCTCCCCACACCCTGGCTGAAGGCCAGCTCCTCAGAGGCTGCCGTAAGCACTATGGGCAGCCCAGTCCCTACCTTGTTTGTCCCTTGCTCTTCTGTGTTAGATCTAGTGGCAGCCAGTCTGCAGGGCGCTGCGACCAGTGTAGACATTGGGTGTTCCGACACTTGGCCTGAGCTACTACCTGCTTTGGCTGTCAGCAAGGTTAGTTTCCTTAGTGCCCATGCAGGCAGGAGGACCAGGGGCCCTGGAGACCCTGGATAAGATATCGCATCCCGTTGGTCTTCACATGGCCTTCCAGGACTCCTAGCGACTACCTGGACAAGGACAAGCGACGCTCCAGGGCTGCCACTCCTGAGCATGAAGGACATGTGTGGCCTCAGTCTCTGCATCTGTGAAATGGGCAGAAAGGCTTAGAAGGAAGGCTCGCATGGTGGACTCCCAGCCCTAATGACCCGTGGGAGACAGAGCCGCGATCTGAGAGTGGGGAGTGGGGAACCTCCTCATATATATATATATAAATCTCCGCGAAGTCAGCGCGCGTGCGCGGTGGGCGGGGCCTCCTCTGCGCCCGCCCCTTCCCGGCATGCACCCGCCGCCCCAGGCGCTGACGTGGCCGCCGTCAGCGCCGCCATCTTGTGAGAGCGAAACCAACGCCTGGCTCGGAGCAGCCGCCGCTGAGGTGAGGGCGAGGGTCGACCCGGCTCCCGGGGCCGGGTACTGGGCGGACTGGAGCTCCCTGGGGCCTTTCACAACGGCGGCAGCGGCAGCGGCAACGGCGGGGCCAGGCCTAGCTGAGCCAGGCGAGGCCGGTGCCGGGCGCGGCCTGGCGGGAGTGAGGCCGAGCGGACCGGGCCGGCCAGGCAGGATTGAGGGCGCCCTCAGCCCCCGGGTGTCCCGCCGCCTCCTGAGTTCCCCGCCCGGGCGCTCCCGCCAACGCCGGCTACAGCCCGGAAGTCCTCGGGGCGCCAGGTGCCCTCCAGGAAGCAGGGTTTCCTGCTCTCTGTGCCCCTTCGGAGCCCCGCACTGGCTGGTGGAGCGGCCACCGGCTCGCGGGCCTCCCCGATGGAGGGCGACTGGGGACCTCGGGGCCGGGAAACTGAAGTTCAGGCGGGCCCGAGAGCCGTCAAGGTCACGCGGGCGGCCAGGCTCGATTCTCGGCCTCGAGTCCAGTTCCTGTTTGCCCCGAGGATGGGAGCCGGGGAGGGAGGAAGAGAAGGAGCGAGAGACAGGGACCCCGGCCGAGAGCCTCCCGACCTCGGGGGTCCGAGTGCCCCTTTCCCCCGGGGACGCGACGCGGGGTCTGCGCTCGGCGGCCTCCGGGGAGCAGCGCCGCCCTGTCCTGCTGCGTGAGACTGGATCTCTTGGCCTCGGGAGGAAGGGCCGAACCGTGTTCATCCCCGGGTGGTGCCTTGCCGTGGTCCTGGTAGATAAGAAGGGCTCTTTCTTTAACTCGCCTGTGGATCGGATCGGCCTGTTTGCAGCCTCCACGGCCGAGACCAGAACCAGTGCGCCATCGGGGTGATCACGGCGTGTCAGATTTTACCTGGACCGCTGAACAATACCTGGAGTGTTTCCGAGCAGGGGAGCGGTCTCCCGTTCCATCCCGACCGCGTTGGGCGCCTTGTGGAACTGGGTGGAATCCTACTTTGATCGCAGGAAAGGAAGAAAGGGCCGCCCTCCCTTGGCTGGGCGCAGAAGTCACACCGTGAAGAGCCACAGGGTAGATGCCGAGGTTAGAGTGGTCAGTTGTAGTTCAGAGCCAGGGCCTGCAGTTACTCCTGCGGGCTGCTCTGGCGTGTTCTGCAATGTGTAATGAAGGCTAGTGAGATACCACCATGCGTCGTGTGTGGGCTTTGTGGCCCTTCTCTGCTCGCTGACCAGTATCCAACACGCAGGACCCTTGGATAGTGTCCTCATTGCATTTGAGTTTTCAGCAGCACTACAAGAGTAGTCAGGCAGTAAGGACTTGAAATACAGTGTTATTCACAGTGTCCAAAAGTCAGGAGGAGAGGAGTGGTGTAAGTGCTGGTTGAAGATCTAACAGCGTTTTGTTAGAGGCTTGTGGTCTCCTTCACACACTTTTGGGCAGGGGACCAGCATTACTGTCTTCAGGTGTTTTTGTGGAAGCGAGTGTGAGCTGGGCAATATGTATACTCTTTGCCCAGGAGGCAGAAACAGAGTTGCTACTTGAAGGGTTTGGCTGTCACTCGGGGAGAGCACTACCTAGCACTCCTGAGAACCTGGGCTCATCCCCAGTCTCCCCCAAAAGGTGTAAGGGAGAAACAGTTGCTGTGGGTAACAGCTAACTCATGAAGTCTACTCATTATGGAAAGAAGGTAGAAAGCAAAAACTGGTTCTGTGCTCCTCAGTGCTGATTTTAAATCGTAGTGGAACTGTTTGTTCTCTGTGTTGCTTGCACAGTAGCAACTCGAGAGGGTGTTCAGACAGACATTTTCACCTGCCAGGCCACCTCTGCTCAGAACCAGACAGGCTTGAAACTACAGGAAGGGACATTTCTTTTTCACTTCACCAAAAGGTAATATGGACTGGCAGCCGCTGAGACAATCCTGAATCAGATGGCCTTAGAGATCCAACCAAGAGAAGAAACCTGTTGTGCTGGTTTATGGAATAGCACTTTACTTTGATTTGAGAGTCAGCTCGATTTTTTTTTTCTGATTGTTCAAGTTAAACGTTGCACTGATGTATGAATTTAAATCTGCTCTGAATTATAAGCACGGCTCACCAAGCTTTCCTGAACACTCCTTCAAGAGCTGTGGCATTTTGCATTTCCACTTAGCATATAGGCCACAGCCAGTGTGGGTTTGCTATGCCATTCATGGCCTGTTCCTTTGGCTTTAAAGTAGACATTTTCCTCAATTGACCTTTGGTCTCCAAACAATTAAGACTGGAGGGAAATAAAGTACACACCTGTCAAAGGTAGCTGTGGGGACCTTAAATTAGATAAGGATTTGTCTTTTTTGTGCTATATCCACTCCTCATTGCAAGAGATTTGGCCCTTCTTGCTTGGAAATAAAGAATAGGTGGGAGTTGCAGGTGTGTGTGCGCGTGCATGTGTATGTGCTTTCGTACACAGTGTGAGATTTTTTTAGGCATTTGGGATTCCCAATCATATACCCGCTGAGGTTTCTGTCCTCTTGTGGTTGTTATGAGCCCTTTGAAGTGTGGTTGCAACTAATGGGTTACAGCTATGCAGCCTGTCACCATTCTGGAAGATAGCCCAAGATTCTCTGGTGGGTAAGATGGCCTGATTTAGCTGGAAAAAATGATGGATAGTTGAACACAGACACATCCACACTCTTTTATTTCTAGGAGGATCTCTTAGGCACTAACGCAGAGCCCTGTTTCCCCACCCACAGAGGGGTTGGGAGGATTGGTAAAGCTGTCTGATCAGGACCTCACCTCCAATAATGTCCTCATTTCCTGGTTTTTAGTCATAGTGCTAACAGGGCTTGGCATTCTTGACAGCAAACCAGGAAGAGTCCCACTCCTAGGCCCTGATAACTGCAAAAGCTTGAGTGACAGGAAGGAAAGAGTCAATAAAAAAGCAGGCAGATATTTGTAGTCATGGCAATTGAGAATGATTCAGTTTAGGAAGCATTTCCTCATACCTGTGAGGATCAAGGGTCACTGGTTATATGCAGCAGGAAGGGGCTGGAGACTTAGTTACAATCCATGCACATTTCAGAAAGTTAGATGTGTGTGCAACATTTTAAAAACCTAATCAGAATCTATTAAAATAAGTTTTCTTCTTTGAAGGGATGTTAGTGAGTTAGGATTCATTCCCAAAGGGCTTCTTTTTTTTTTTTGAGACAGGGTCTCGATATATATAGTTCAGGGTGTCTTTGAACTCACTATATTGTCCAGGCTGGCCTCATACCTGCAGCCATCCTCCTGGCTCAGCCTCCCAAGTGCTGGGATCACAGGTATGCACTACCATGCCCAGCCCCCAAAGGGCTTCTGATTATGTTTCTTTTTTGTAAGACAATCTTTTTGTGTACATGTCTTGCACACTGAGTAACTGCTTTGAAGATGATACACAGTGTATTAACTCTTATATTGTTTTGGTATGAAATTTTGTTTTATTTTTGCATAAGATTTAAAAACCCAAAAGAGGGTTTCTGGTGGTAGATGACAATATGCAAAATGCAAAATAGTTGACACTTCTGTGTCAAATATCAAAATATTTTTGCTGTACTATCTACCTAAACAGGAAACTTATGGTCCCAATTCTCCAAGGATCTTCTGGAGATTTTTTTTTTTAAGCAAGAATAGTTTTATTTAAGTATTGATGTGATTTAGGTACACATGGCCAAAAAGAGAACATCTAGATTTTTTTCTTTTTTTTTTTTTTGAGAATATCTAGATTTTATCTAGACTAGGTCCTGGAGAGTGGGAATGAAGGTAGAGTTAGATGTGCCTGAGTTTTAATTGTGTTTTCCTGAGAAATACCTTTTCTTCTGTAGTTGAGAATGCAGTTCCTCACTGATTGAATCTGTTAGTCTGTATTTTAAATATTCATCTTTTGTCAGCTTTGGTGGTGAAATTTTACTTAAAGTACCTGTCACAGTGATACTAGGTCCTGAAAATTATCAGGGAGTTTTTTAACTGAAATACACTGTAACACTTAGAAGTACCTGAGGGCAAGTTTTGTGCATACCCTGCCCCGCTCTAGTGGCCTTTTTTCATTGGACACAGCAGACATGCAGCCGGTCACAGTGTCTCCGTGTGCCTGGGTATCCACATCGGGGATTCTTCAGACTAAACAGCACCATGAGTTTCTCTTGACAGACTGATTTTATAGGAAAAACATCTGTCAGGTTTGTGATTGATCTTTTTGATTCCAAAGGACCTGGTGAATGTGCTTCTACCATTGCCTTCCCCTCTAGTAGTTGGTCGCCTGTGAGAGGGCTCGAGGTAGAAGGTGGGGTCCCCACTCAGTGATCAGAGGTACAAAACTGCCCACGCTAGTAAGCATCCATCCAAGTGGGGAAGCAGCCAGACACTAGGGCCCTCCAAGGAGATGGGGACGTTACCTGACTTGGGATATTTGAGCAGAGGGTGAAGAAATGAGAGCTCTGCACGTCTGTGGGAACGACTAGGAGCTTCTTGGTGAGCCAGGATGGTTGGCACGAGGGCCATGAAGTGGGTGGATAGATGGGTGGGTGTCCTTGTTGGGTTTGGAGACCTGCCAGGAGCAATTGGAGGATGGAACACCTGCTGGTGGGTGGCCCTGATCCTCAGAGCATCTGTGTGTTCCCTAGAAAGGATATCGAAGTACTTGTGGCTCTCCAAGGCTGGGAGGCAGCACTGGCACTGAGGAGCAGGGGCATGTGCGCATTTGTGTGGTTTTCCTGTGGGTGGAAATCTTGTCTGTAGTAGTTTAAGCCTCTGTTTTACATACATACAAAGACAAAGGCATTTATTTATTTATTTATTTATTTATTTAGAATAGTTTTCTCAAATGTTCTGAGTTTTCCAGGAATTTGGCTACTGTACCTTGTAAGTCATAAGTGATTGTATTTTGTTGTCTTCAGAACCTTGTTCTTTGTTTCCAGGGGGGGAAAGTCATTTCACAGACCTGACAAGTCCTTGAGATTGGCATGGCAGATAGACCCTGCCCCAGAGGGCTGGATAGGGCCCCTCCCTTTATTCTCCAGTGTGGCCATGCCCAGCATCTATGGGCATTTCAGTAGAAGTCACTTCCCCTTCTTTCCCTGGGGCATCATTGTTGGGTCAGCCCCAGGGGGCTCTCTGCAGTCTTGTGTGCATGTCAGGTGTCTCTTGGCTTCCTTTTAGGTTGGCGGGGGCTTTGTTTTATTTTTTTATTTTTGTTTGTGGTACTGGGGATCAAACTCTAGACCTTGTGCTTGCCAGGCAGGCGTGGCTCCTCTGAACTACATCCCCAGCCCCCAGAGGCTTTGTTTTAAAATGTTTGTAGGCACGAGTTGTAGCCACTGTGGCTGTTAAGGACCCTGACATTGTGGGCAATATCTCTCACTGGATTCACTTCAGGTGTGTGGGGCCACTGTGGGGACTAGGGAAGTTGGTGTCTCCAGGGCTCAAGTCTAATGAACTGGGAGAAAGCTGTTCAGCACTGCACATGGGCGAGGGAGGGAAGGGGGTTGGGGTGGAAAAGCTGCAGGTGGAAACCTGGGATCGTCTGGAGTAAGTGGGCTCACCTGGAGGGCAGAGGCAGCTGTGTTAGGAATGCAGGATCACCAGAGGGGAGGCCTGGGGTGGGGGTGAGGAGGCAGCATCAGCAGGTGTGTGCTTTAGGGAGGTATTCTAGACCACAGGCCTCATTGAGGAGAGTTGCCTCCAAGGTTTGCGGTGACTGTCCCTGTCCCTTATGTGTGTCTGGCTGACCAGGGTGGAGCAGAGCTAGGCTGCTCCTGAGCCCAAGAAGCCTAGTGACAGCTCTCTATCCCCATTTTACTCTCCTCTTATTTCCGGAAGAGCAAGTCTTCAAAAGAGGAGGGCTGTTTCCCCCCACTTCCTGAAATGAAAAATTCCCTAAAAGTAAAGATCCAGTTTTAGAGATTGGCTTAATCACTTATGAAGCCCTGCCTACTCTTGAGTTGTTTGAGGAAGAGCCCCTGTGCTCTCTGGGAGCTTATTTTATGAAGGCACCATTAGCCGTTAACTGTTCCAGTTCCGTTTTTCTTCTCTGGTTGTGGAAAGGAGCCACTGGAGCATAGGGCCCC